TATAGTGAAACAAGACCATCCTTCAAATGATATAGTGAAACAAGGCCATCCCTCCAAATGATATAGTGAAACAAGGCTATCGTCCTAATGATATAGTGAAACAAGGCTATCGTCCTAATGATATAGTGAAACAAGGCCATCCTTCGAAGTGATATACTGAAAAAAGGCCATCCCTCCAAATGATATAGTGAAACAAGGCCATCCCTCCAAATCATGATATAGTGAAACAAATGATAGGTGAAACAAGGCCATTATTTTCAAACAAGGCCATCCTCCAAATGATATAGTGAAGCAAGGCCATCCCTCCAAATGATATAGTGAAACAAGGCCATCCCTCCAAATGATATAGTGTAACAAGGCCATCCCTCCAAATGATATAGTGAAACAAGGCCATCCCTCCAAATGATATCGTGTAACAATGCCATCCCTCCAAATGATGATAAATTGAAACAAAACCATCCTTCAAATGATATAGTGAAACAAGGCCTTTCCTCCAAATGATATAGTGAAACAAGGCCATCCAAATCTGGGAAAACATTGCATAAAGTCAAGGTCTTAGCTTGTTGCTCTTCATAGGATTTTACAAAAATGAGTCAAAGCAATTCATTCTGCTCTGTAAATTTTTTTAAAACACAATATTGATAGATGACCTCAGTTCTTAGTGACAAGGGTCATGGTCATAGCCAATAGGCACCTGAGCTAACATATCCATTAAGGAATCGCATGCTTAAAACATCTTTTAATCTACACTCTGGCTTAAATTGTCTTGGACGGTTTTGGACAAAAAGCTTATTTTCAAAGAGAAAAAGAAAACAAATTGCTTTAATCCCAAATTCAGAAACAATTGTGTAGATAAACAAGCAGAAATGGGGGGGAAATCCTATTTTCATAGTTTTTTAATTTACTATATTTCATGAGAAAATTATCCACATTTCCAATACTTGGGCACCAAATTTTGCCAAAGTCTACCAAACAGACATAAACTTTGCAAGGGAGATAATCTATCCAGTAAACCAATACAATCCAGGCTACCAAAGGCACTGGTCTGTAGGATTACAATCATTGCAACTCATAAATTAACAGCAACTGCACATTGTGAATAATATCATCATCTGTATATCAAATTGAAAAGTAGAATATATCAGAAACTTGTCGTTGTAAAAAAGTACTTTTTCCTTTCTGAATCCACTCATGCAAGTTGTTGGATCTGATATACATAACTACTTAATTTGACTCGTGCAACTGAAGCTTTGAAAATTTTAAATATTAATTTCTTGTAAAAATGTTCAAAACTTACCCTTTGTCTATAATCTATCACAGAAAGATCTGGATTTGACAAGACTTCACCTAGACTTGTTTTCCCCTTCAAAATCTGTATTTATACTTATTAATAGAAAATCTTTGGCAATGTTTGAAGGATTACAAGTTTTTAAAATGACACAGGAATTGTATTAATTTTAACATTAAAATTTCAGCTTTGCATTAAAATCTACTCTTTGTTTAATGTTAATTTGAAAAAAAAAAACACTTAAAAATATTTTAATTTATTTATATATGTTTATGTATAAATGTTTCGCTGCTTCCTCCCCTTTCTCCAATCAAACTGTTTACCTTCCCCGCCCCCTTAATATCTGATTTACCTTCTGGATACCAGTAATTTCAACGAAACATCAAAATCATTTATACTTTTCAAAGAATAAATCAAATAAAAAAATCAATTTTTTTTTTTTTTTTTCAAAATAATGAAATTTAAAAGATGTGTACATATTTGAAATTTTAAAATGTCTAATGCTTTAGGAAGGCAATGTCATGTTTTTTATCATTGTCATCTCTTCTATCATAAATTTGGCTACCTGTCCAGTGATTGGACAAGCCAATGGTGATTGGAGGAATGACCGCGATAAATGTACTAGACACACAAGAAGAAACATATGATAGACAAGACAACATACAATGTTAATAATAAATAGACAATTATAGGAAGACTTTGCCCACCCTTATCTGCCTCAATGGCACACCCCAATCAAAAGTCTGGGATGTTCCATTGGAATACATAAGGGATGACTATGAATAGAAATGTTCAAAACCTTTCTTCCAATAACTGCAATTGTACTGGCACAAATTGAAAGGGCTTATCCAATGAGACACGATTAATTGGTAAAGGGAAAAAGGTTTGGTACAACCATACTAAGATCCTGTGTCATATTCTCCATATTACAACCTTACAAAGACCCAAAATCAAAACCTGCGAAGTTTCAAATTATTTCAGATTTCATCTATTTGGAGAGATATGGACTAACTGATATTCTAGGTCTTATTTTGATAATAATAAAAAAACAAATTCAGTCATAAATGTTGAAATAACAAGATTTGGCATATTAATTAAAGTGCTTCACTGATCTAGTGGGCATCTTTAAGCCAGGATTATCACAAACATCTTAATAACATTTAAATACAGTGATTTACAATCTTAGATTTAAAAAAAAGGAAAAGAAAAACACTTTCAATTCTGCACAAAAACATGCCAACCAAAATCAAAGTTCAAATTTGAAACCTCATAATATTTTGCATTCTCACATTAATAAATCTCGCACCTTGTACCTCAGGTGAAGGAAAAAATGTTTTAAAACCGAAACATATGAGGATTATGCATGTATTTATATCTCCCTACCAGTGATAAGATGAGAATAATTATGTGATGTTACATAAATACAGAAGATAATCTGGTACACTCACTCATATAAGGCCTGGTCGTGGCACCAGTATATGTTCTTATTTATAATTATGCAAATTTAGTTTTAAGGTATTTACTTCTAAGACAAAAAGTAATTCTAGACGATACAAAACCTATCCTCAATGCCAAGAAATACTGCCAATGCAGGTGAGTAAAATTTAAATATTCTGATTTATCACCATAGCTTGCTGTATGCTTAGAACAGAGCATTCTCCCATTAAGATATAATGGGATCTCCTAACTACAGGGTTTATTCTGCAGTCTGCTCTGCTAAATAAGGCTTCCAGATGACAAAACGCCATTTTTAGAACTTTACCAACCTCCACTAATAGCATGAATACAAGATCTTTTGTTAATTTAAATTAAGGTTTAACTGATGAAGTTCTCACCCTGTTTAAAAGATTTTGGGTAGATACTATTAAGGTCAATGGAATGTTCAAAAACCAAATAAAATTATACGTGACCATGTGCCTTTAAAATGACATAATATTTAGTTAGTTTGTCTGATGATGATTGTAAATCATACAACACTATCAATAATGTAATGATATGAATGAGATGCAAAAAAAACTACAACAAACATGTTCTATGGTTTTTCTGTACTTGTGTTATCTAGTTAAGTATTTACATTTGGTAGCATGTCGGCACACGGGGTAGAAAATACACAGCCTCACATGTAGTTGAAACAGCAGATCTACAGGGTCCCAAATACTGTAAAATCATTCATATTCATGAGGAATTAATGTTTGTTGAATTTGTGGGTAATTTAAATCCACCAATTCATATATCCACGAAATGATAAACAGCTTAATGTGTCCACATGTGTTTCGCGAGCAAGATAAAATATCGAAGAAATCAAGTGCCAACAGAAATGTACATTTTGAAAACCAAGAAATTTGAGCCCCATGGAAACATATGATTTCACAGTACTCACAAAGTCCGGGAAATTATACATGATATTTACATATGTCATACAATTATTCTTATTGTTCATCTAAAATTTGCAAACAAAAAATCATTAACACCTTTAATTTCAAATTCAACTTGTAGTTTATTATCCTTTTTTTCCATATACTTTAAGCAATTAAAAAATAAATTTTGACCGAGATCACATACTGGACACCTTGTAGAAATTGTCAACGACGTAGAATTGATGAAATGTCAAATTTGGACCAAATTATGAATAAAGGTGGTGACAACACATTTTAGAGTACCAAACCGGGGCTGAACATTTAGAGATAATCTTGCAGCCCTAAAAGCCTGAAGGCCAAACTTGTCATAAACAAATTATTTGGACTTGTCTGATGATATTAAATTTGCCTGTTGATTTGCATGCAACCTCGTCCGTGAAGTGTATTTAACGTTTTACTTTATCTAGCACTCGCTTACCGACATAATTACATACAAACAAATTGTGACATGTAACATAATAGATAATCACTTCTTCCCTGAATCAAAATGACAAATGACAGGACACTTCAGCAAAAATTGTGTGGTTCAACAATTTCTACATACGACATGTAAAAATGATTTTTAGCCATTACCTGCTGAAAATGAGTAACTCAAACACACCCAACAGGTCACAAGGAAAATAGTTTTATCAAATTCCTCAACCTGAATCTTCACAAAAAAGTTTTTAATTCAATTTCATTTCAAATAAATACTAAACTGAAACATTATCAATCCATCCAGCTTTCTCTGTTTTCAATTTCATTTCAAAATCATTTCTAGAATACAGTGCTTTACAAAGAAAATACTAAAATAAATGCCGATTAATTCAGACTAAAAAAAAGTTAAGATTGTTCAATTATATTAATATCAAAATAATCAATGTTACATGATTAAATAGCTTTCTACTTGAAGTGCAAAGTACAAAAAAAGAGACCTTTTTGCACTTACATGTACACTTCAGATCCAATATGTGTGCAGTTAATGAATTATACTTCCACACAAAAACCTTATAACAAAATCTGATCAGAATGAATTATATACAGAGTTACTGCAGTGTTGACTTCAGTGCTTCACTGCTAAGTAACGATAAAATCATAAACAATATTGATTTTTTTTTTTTTTTTGTTCTTTCCGGTGGATGTGAAAGTATCTAAGACAATGAAAGAACAACATCTGTCAAATCAACATTTAACTCTAGCTGGCTGTTCATGAATATTGTACTAATAATAAATATACAAATAAAAAGGTGTCAAAAATTGATTATAGTATAAAAAATAAAATCTTGTTCGAACAAGTTCACCCACCCATCCCGCCCTCAAACTGTTCCCATGGACACCATTACCCACAGATACAATCACTAATTCAATGGGGACTTTTTCCCACATACAAACCATTGCTGTTCCTAAGAATTTTTCACAAAAGAGGCACAGCACCTTTTCCTATACACAAGAATGCCCTAACAGCAACATTTCAATGGGTTTCACTATTGCATTGAAACAGGAAAGATTTATATTTCTACGAAATTTTCTTAAAAGTCGATGTGAAAATTGAAATGCTATGTGCCAGGAACTCGGTGGTTCTTCTTGTCGTAGTATCCATTATTTTTTCATCTATTAATTCTGCCAAGCTAGAGATGTAAGCTAAGTTTCATCTCCTCATTAACGTTCTGCTCACGCATAAAATTCCTTCTCTGGTGCCTTCATGTAGGAATAGTTTGTGAATTTCTGTTCCTCCAGGGCGTAGCTGCCTTCGTCTTTCTTTCGCATGCGATACACAATGAACATCACCAGTAGTATGGCCCCAAGCAATCCGACAACTGCCCCAGCGATCACAGCTGTAAAGAGAACACAAGCACTGCACTTAATAAGAAAAAACTCATATTTAGCTACAATCTGTGGTCTTTTATGGCTAACCTAGCTGGACCAAATGTCTGTTGGACATGAATGTCTCCTACACAAACAAGATGACCAGGTGATCATGATCAGGTGGAGAAGTTGGTGGTTTATTGTGTAAATATTAACCCAATCTGTTGAGAAGTTCTCAAGATATGATACAGATTGAAATGCAGGGGAAAGGGATGAGGGTGATTTCCTTCCTGAGAACACTACACCTGTATATATCTAAATAATGACTGAGTGATAACTTAATGATTATCTCAATATCATCATATTTTCAATTCACATTTTCATTAACAACAAACAGCTTATTTTTACATGAAATCTGAAATTTTCGAAAAACAATGAACAAAATTTAAACATGAAAAGGAACTCACCTCCCATAACGAATGGTTTTGCCAAAAACTTCATTTCACTTTCGCCATCACGTGCAAGATTGCTGGAAGAGAGGTTGTCCTCATCTTCTGTCTCCACTGGTTCAAATGGTTCCAACTCTACATTTTTCTTTTTTGTAGTTGCCTCCTGCTCTGGGACATGTGTAGAAACTGCAACAGCAAATTCTTCCCAACATCAACGAAAGTGAGTTCTAAATTCAGTATGTGATTTTATACTTTCATTATGCTGATACAAAGAATAAAACAAAATTCAAATCAATTTTAATAACCAATAATCATACAGCTCTTTTTTGTATCTATTTCAAGATAATAAAATATTGGTATATTGCACGGATTATTGTTTGGTACTTTGGCTGGCAATTCAAATATCGCCAATACTACAACACAAAATTGACATTGCCTTAAAATTTACATTAAATAGGAGGTAATAAGGTAGATAACTCCCATAGAATAAACCAAGAAAGACAACTCTAACAGATTTAAAACTATTCTGAGGAATGAACATACATCACCAGTATGGGAAAAACATAAAAGGATTCAAACATTGATAGAAACAGGAGAGCTAAAGAGTACACATGCAAGTGTTAAGTAAAAAAATATGATAGAAAAAAAAACACAACATGCTAAAAAAGTACAAAATGCAAGGTCAAAGAATTCCATTTGACTGTAGTCTAATGACTACTGTTGCTAGGTATACTTTGGACTTTTCTATAAAATTCTGCTCATCAGCAAGGAGTTAGTGAGTATTCCTCAATTGACCAGAGCTTGTTGTCCCGGTACACCAGTGTGCTTGAATCATTGAATTTCCTTGACCTTTGAATATGCAGTGAATGACTGATGTGATTTGAATTCTACTTATTCTCTATAACCTAAGTCAGATTCTGAAACATGTTAGTTTATATAGCTATCACTCATGTGTCTCAGCAAGTTCTCAATTAATATAAACAATTACTCAATGAATACTTAAACAGGCATTTTTTGTGAATATTCAGGTCATTACACTCTTAATCAAACTATTTCTCACTGAACATTCAGACAGACTGTCAATGAATATTCTGCACAATGTCTTTCCTGAACAATGCAAGTCAAACATTGTAGTGCAGAAAAAATCAATACTCTCTTTAAGTAATAACCAATGTCATTCCAACACTTTACCTCCAACATTTCAGCAACTACTTGATGCCATCATCTTAATTTCTCCAAAATAGCTGTCATCTCTAATCCTAATCCTCAAAAACCACCATCTGTGGTCATTCAACCCCTCAAAAACATCTGTCATCCCTACCCCACCCTAATCCCTTTAGAACAGCCACCATGTGTGCTCATTTAACCCCCCCAAAAGATCTGTCATTCCTTCCCCACCCTAATACCTCTAGAACAGCTACCATGTGTGCTCGTTCAACCCCTCAAAAACAGCTGATATCCATGTACCACCTTAAACCCTCCAGAACAGCAATGATCTCTGCTTGTTCACCTCTTAAGAACAATAATTATCACTCCCCCACACCAACCCCTCCTGAACGCAAACAATCATCTTCACCTCTTCATCCCTCAACAACAGCAGTTATTCCCTTCCCAACCCCTCCAGGAGAGTAACCATCTTCACCTCTTCATCCCTCAACAACAGCAGTTATTCCCTTCCCAACCCCTCCAGGAGAGCAACCATCTTCACCTCTTCATCCCTCAACAACAGCAGTTATTCCCTTCCCAACCCCTCCAGGAGAGCAAACAATCATCTTCACCTCTTCATCCCTCAACAACAGCAGTTATTCCCTTCCCAACCCCTCCAGGAGAGCAACCATCTTCACCTCTTCATCCCTCAACAACAGCAGTTATTCCCTTCCCAACCCCTCCAGGAGAGCAACCATCTTCACCTCTTCATCCCTCAACAACAGCAGTTATTCCCTTCCCAACCCCTCCAGGAGAGCAACCATCTTCACCTCTTCATCCCTCAACAACAGCAGTTATTCCCTTCCCAACCCCTCCAGGAGAGCAACCATCTTCACCTCTTCATCCCTCAACAACAGCAGTTATTCCCTTCCCAACCCCTCCAGGAGAGTAACCATCTTCACCTCCAGGAGAGTAACCATCTTCACCTCTTCATCCCTCAACAACAGCAGTTATTCCCTTCCCAACCCCTCCAGGAGAGCAACCATCTTCACCTCTTCATCCCTCAACAACAGCAGTTATTCTCTTCCCAACCCCTCCAGGAGAGCAACCATCTTCACCTCTTCATCCCTCAACAACAGCAGTTATTCCCTTCCCAACCCCTCCAGGAGAGCAACCATCTTCACCTCTTCATCCCTCAACAACAGCAGTTATTCCCTTCCCAACCCCTCCAGGAGAGCAACCATCTTCACCTCTTCATCCCTCAACAACAGCAGTTATTCCCTTCCCAACCCCTCCAGGAGAGCAACCATCTTCACCTCTTCATCCCTCAACAACAGCAGTTATTCCCTTCCCAACCCCTCCAGGAGAGCAACCATCTTCACCTCTTCATCCCTCAACAACAGCAGTTATTCCCTTCCCAACCCCTCCAGGAGAGCAACCAACATCCCTCAACAACAGCAGAGAGCAACCATCTTCACCTCTTCATCCCTCAACAACAGCAGTTATTCCCTTCCCAACCCCTCCAGGAGAGCAACCATCTTCACCTCTTCATCCCTCAACAACAGCAGTTATTCCCTTCCCAACCCCTCCAGGAGAGCAACCATCTTCACCTCTTCATCCCTCAACAACAGCAGTTATTCCCTTCCCAACCCCTCCAGGAGAGCAACCATCTTCACCTCTTCATCCCTCAACAACAGCAGTTATTCCCTTCCCAACCCCTCCAGGAGAGCAACCATCTTCACCTCTTCATCCCTCAACAACAGCAGTTATTCCCTTCCCAACCCCTCCAGGAGAGCAACCATCTTCACCTCTTCATCCCTCAACAACAGCAGTTATTCCCCCAACCCCTCCAGGAGAGCAACCATCTTCACCTCTTCATCCCTCAGTTATTCCCTTCCCAACCCCTATCAACCAAATATTCCCTTCCCAACCCCTCCAGGAGAGCAACCATCTTCACCTCTTCATCCCTCAACAACAGCAGTTATTCCATTCCCAACCCCTCCAGGAGAGCAACCATCTTCACCTCTTCATCCCTCAACAACAGCAGTTATTCCCTTCCCAACCCCTCCAGGAGAGCAACCATCTTCACCTCTTCATCGCTCAACAACAGCAGTTATTCCCTTCCCAACCCCTCCAGGAGAGCAACCATCTTCACCTCTTCATCCCTCAACAACAGCAGTTATTCCCTTCCCAACCCCTCCAGGAGAGCAACCATCTTCACCTCTTCATCCCTCAACAACAGCAGTTATTCCCTTCCCAACCCCTCCAGGAGAGCAACCATCTTCACCTCTTCATCCCTCAACAACAACAGTTATTCCCTTCCCAACCCCTCCAGGAGAGCAACCATCTTCACCTCTTCATCCCTCAACAACAGCAGTTATTCCCTTCCCAACCCCTCCAGGAGAGCAACCATCTTCACCTCAGTCAGTCAGTCGCCCTCCCTGGAACGTTGATGTTGCTGTACTTACATTCAGTATCAATAAAGTCAATGCCAGGTGAGATGTCTGTTTCAGTATCGTACTGAAAAATAAAACATGAAACAATGAGCTTGTAATTAAAATAAACATGTATTGACAACTTGCTGGCTTTGTATAGCGAACTCACTGGTCATTCTCAATTTGTTTGAGGCTGCTGGCAATGCATGGACCATTTGCTGGATGTGCATAGTTTGTGTGAGCATGTTGATTATGTATAGGTGTGACCTTGCTGACATTGTATAGTGAGCTCAATAGATAAGTATAGTTTGTTTGAGCTTGTTGACATTGTACAGTGAGCTTAGTATATAAGTATTGATTGTATGAGCTTGTGGGCTATGTATAGTGAGCTCAGTGATATGAGATTTTTTGGCAAAGTAATTTTGCAGACTCCAATTGATACATTTAAGAATTAACTATTTTGTTTAGGTTATCCCCTGATAAACTATTTCGTTTAGGTTATCCCCTGATAAACTATTTCGTTTAGGTTATCCCCTGATAAACTATTTCGTTTAGGTTATCCCCTGATAGACTAAACAAAATAGAAAATCAATAGTAATATATTTTCAGCCTTTCTTAAATACAGTTCCACTTTTATAGATTCAAACATACACAATAAAGATGAAAACATTCAAAGAAGAAAAGAAAAGTACTAATATTTCAGATATATTCATTATCATAAATACAAAAATTCCATGTTTATTCAATTGAGATCTCATAAAATAAAACTTCAACAAGAGATCCCAGAGGGAGCTTGGCGCCCACCATTGTTTAATCTTTATATGCTCATTGGAAGTTGGATCTTTTCCCTTCTTTTCTCTTCTCTGTTTGTGCTCTTAATGATAAAACATTTGAATATTCCTTTGCAGAAATAGCAATGATAATCTTTACCTGCCAAATACAAACTGACCCCCTGGAAGCCATTTTGTTTCTTCTGATCAATCCCAAAATCAAATGAGCATAAGGAGAGACCAAAGGAACATACATATGAAATTTGAGAGACATCCATTCAGTTTTTCTTAAGAAATAGTAATTACAATCTTTACTAGGCAAAATCCAAAATGGCTGCCTGTCGGCCATTTTGTTTTTTCTGATTAGTCCTTAACTCCAACAGGCACAACTAGGGACAGAAGGAACCTATATATTAAATTTGTGAAAAAGATTATAGAATGGTTCTCAAGAAATAGTGATATAAACTTTCAATGTCAAAATCCAAGATGGCCACATTTCAGCCATTTTGTTTTTGTGATCAGTCTCAAATTCAAACAGGCACAACAAGGGACCAAGGAGAATCTACAAATGCAATTTGAGAAAGATCCAATTTCTACTTTTAAAGAAATAGCAATAACAAAAATAGTTTACAGATGGTCAGACTACGGACGCAGGGCGATTTGAAAAGCCCACCATCATTAGATGGGAGGCTAATACCAAAGGTGATAGGGACAATTACAACAGTTACAGTAAATATTCTCTAACCTTATCAGGCCACTTACAATTATCCATAGTTTGAACGCAGCTAATAAGAATATTATTTTCCCTTAGATAGCATGTTTTCCCATAGGTGGCGTGACTGTATTTGCAGGTGCAGTTTATAGTAATAATTAGAATTTTGCCATTTAGCAAGTGTAGAACAAAGGCAACACAAAGCTACATACTGTAAGGAAGGCAATTTTTGATATTTGATGGGGGATTGTTTCTTTAGGTATTCGGTCAGAGTAATGTAAGTTAGGGAACAGATAATGGTTGTGATAGTGAGGTTACTGATGATAATAATGGAATGTGTCGACATTAACCTATCACTAGATGTCAATAGATACATGTTAATTTATTATACAAGTGTCAAGGTTTTTAAACCAAAATTATGCAGCAGCTAAGACAACAGTAAATTATCAAAGGAGGTCTGTATCTAGACCCCATCGCTCCTAACAGCATCTTCCTTATTGTGACTATTTGTCACACATGGCTGAGGAAGTATCTTTCATTTCACTCTAAATTTAAATTCACTATTTCAGAAAGCAGGACATTACTTTGAGAAACTGGTCATGCCCAGTGTCATCAGAAAAGTTCTGACAGCTTTTCTTCATTCAATTCAGAAAAGCCAAATTGGTAGCACACCTACCCCAAACAATCTATCATCATAAAACAGAAAAAAAGAGGACAACTCCTCTAGACAGGATCAGGAAATGTTTGTGGAAATGATAAAATAAAGGAATGAAAATCCAGAATTTCCTGCTTATAGAATGGCTGCTGGTGTCACATTAGATCTGGTGACTTTATTAGGTTAAAGACAGTACAGAAGGGTGTACTTACTCCTTTTCCCGGTTTCTTCTTATCTTTGCCTGGCTTGGCTGGCTCAGCAGTGACTGGTGCCCGTGTCCCCTTAGTTGTCAAAGCCTTTTCTGTTGTTGCTACACAGGCACAAAATATCACCATTATTTTCCCCCAATGTAAAAACAAAATGTGACCTTCTTGGGTTTCTTTGACATCAAAACCCAGTTCAGAACCCCTACCAAATCTTGCCAAATGGAATACTCAAGATTTCTTTTTCCTTTTTAAAATTAAAACACTGAAAATCTCATACCAATATTGCTGATTTAGCCTGAAGAAAATTCCACCTAAAAACAGAGCATTACCAAATGAGACATTGGTAAAATTCCAGACGTGATGAAAAGATACCATTGAAGTTTATAGCTTTAGCAAAAACTGTCAAAAGAATCTACCAAAAACATCTACTCTACATATACAATTAATGATCAAACATGCAGCTGTAGACCCCTATAACATGATATGTACACATGATCACATGACTGATCACGTGACATGATCATGTGACCTGAAGTGATGGATGATGTGGAAACATGCAACACTAACAAGAAATTGTTAATTACTACAATAACAAGGGAATCAATGTCATGATTCGTACCGAGTCAACTCAGAGCGCAACAAATTTTGACGCAAAATAACTAAATAATCATTCACCATGTGCTTCTAAAAATGAAAACTGTGAATGATGATGTTGAATAAAGATTTGAGGCGACAGACAATGTTATACAATAAAAGAGCAGTTTATGTCTGCATTCAAGGTTAGAGCCATAACTATGTCTACATCGAGCAGGACACACGAGGACCAACAATAAAACAAGGTCTGCGTTTTTCCATACCTAAGCAACATTTTGATACCTGTATATTCTATCCTATTCTTTCTATTTTCTTTTCAGTTAATTTTGCTTATGACCTTTATCAGAAATGACATCTCTACATAGTTTTTTTAACATATTTTTTAATTTTTCTTGCACAAGTGAGTTATATTTTGTTTTCTGGCAAATGTGTCCATCATTTTTAATGAACACAATTTTCTGTCTAATTGTTTAATTCTACTTTGTTTTTTTCATACTTTGCTGTAACTGCAGCCTTTAATTGAAGAGTAAGTTTTTAAATTAAGTATGAGTAGGCAAAGTGTGTATATAAAAAGTCAATCTACGAGCCAAGTATAAACTTGCAAAATTCTACAATATTTCATAGGACTTGTCTCTGTCTCATCAAAGTAGCAGTGTATCTTTAATGTATTGCCTCCAAATTCATCCTTACTTTACCTGACCTAGGAATAGTATTACCCATCTTGTCACTAACAGATCAATAGTGCACACACAAACTCCTCAACTCACTTTCACTTTGAGACCTTTTTTTCCTCATTTTTTTCCCTTTAATTTATACATCATAAACTATTGCCTACATTCACATCCTTCAGTGATACCTTCATCTTCCTTACATTTATACTTTTGACATGAAATGGAAAAGAAAGATTCCAATCAATATTGCGGACAATTATGATACAGGAATATATCTTGATAATCACAATCCGATTCAGGGAACTTATGTGTACATCTCATAAACCATACAAAACTTGTAAATATTCATGATCTAATGATGAGATAAATGACATTCAAATAAATTTTTAATCAAAATGAGACATCATTTACTGTGAAAACTTGTTAAAAATTCAACTACCGGTGCAGCTTACAATATCTGTGCAGTGCTGATAAAAAGATGAACCATCTACATACAAAAAGATGATAGAAGATCAATCTACTGATAGCAGAACATATAAACAAGGTTTAGAAGATAAAACCATCCACCTCTAAAATGGGGACAGAACACTAAGCTATATTTATAAACGTGACAGGGTTTCTTCAGTCAGAACTCCTTCACAGGGAGCGTGACGAGTGATTACAAGGAAGCCCAAAGTTATGGGAGCCCTCCCAGACACATTTCTATCACTAACACAATAAGTACTAATATTTTCTTTTATCATCTATGGCTTCCCTAACTATATGGCTGTGATTCTACACACTTTCTGTAACTGTTTTTAATATACCTCAATATTTCATTCGATTCTAAGATTTGTAACATCTTGATTTGGGTGAAACATGTTTAATCCATGTTTATTCTTCCTTCCAGTTTGTCAAGTTTATTTACTTTCATATTTCCTAGTGAACAGTAACAGTATTTTGGAAACATTTGAAGAAACTTTATATTTCCTATTTGGTAAGATGTTTATAATAGAGTTAGCAGAGTATTCTTATAGTAGAAATCAACATCAACCCTAAAGAATTTGAAGTAGACAAACAACTACACAGGTAAGTGAGGGGGGGATGAATACCTTCACAGACAGGCGTGTGTGAGGCGTGTGAGGTGTGCACACGTGTGTTGAAAACCTCATCGCCCATACTGTCCACACACCAACAGTCTCCCTCGAAACACTGTATGTCTTCAAACTCTCCATCAATGGTACAGCGAGGTCGGTACGTCCCTAGGAAACCCCAGCTGTTTTTTAGCAGTAAATGTACACATCTTTTTAATGTTGAACCTGGGAAAATGAAATAACTTAATACAATATATCATCAAAATACTGGATAATCTTGTATATCCCCCCCCCCTCCAAAAAAAAAAAACTGACACACAAATTTATCACCATATTGATCCTTTACTATGCACAGTGGGCTAACACTTTACTCTTCCTCAAAGGAAGGGTGTGGATTTATTTCTGATATTTATGGTAAACTCTCCAATGTAAATCACCAGTGTCTGTAGTCATTTTCATTTAAGAGATCACCTGTCTACAGCAACCACTTGTCAGAAACTTGTAAAGTGTTGTCACTTACCTAAACTATAATCACACTCACATTTTAAACTGACAGTCTAAATAAACTACCTCATCTGTAACAGAATTACATATAATAGTGACCATGATAGACTATTTATGTAACTACCACCTGTCTATAAGGACCATCTGGCTATAACTGCTGCCTGCCTATAAGGACCAAATGAGTTTAACTTCCACTTACCTTTAAGAACCACCTTGTATACCTACCACATGTCTATAAGGACCACCTGCCTGTAAAGACCAAATAAACTTCCACCTATGTTTAAGAACCACCCTGTATACCTACCACCTGTCTATAAGGACCACATGAGTGTACCTTTCACCTGTGTATTAATACCACCTGTCTATAAGGACAACTGTGTATAACTGCCATGTCTGTAAGGATCATTTATGTATTACTACAACCTGTCTATAAGAATAAGCTGTGCAAAACTGCTGTATATCTTCTATATGGTTCACCTGAATGTATCGAACACCTGTCTATAAAGAACATGTTTATAACTACCATCTGCCTCTTATAGCGCAACTTGTCAATATCTGTTCAAAGCTGTAGAATGAAAGAATGAGGAAATAGGGAATGATATTTACAATAAAGTGGAATTTTTGTTCATTTCTGTTGGGGAAAACTGCTGCTAAAGGACAGCATGATAAACAATGATCTAGAGAGTAACAGCAATGAATAAGAACTGAAGGAAAAACAGACATAAACTGTTTAGATATGAAAAAGGAGAAAATGAAAGTGGATGGTAACTTACAACATCCTCTTTTTGATGTTGTAGGCATTTTATTGTCCACGAAAATAAAAAGAAATGTCAGGGATTTGGGATTAGATACACTGAAGATGTAAAAATGTCTGTGTTGGGCATTTCCATTACTCCAGATCTCTAACATTTCTCGTTACGACACAATTACATGTTCCATATCATAGTCTCTGTTTTCACTATATGTCACTTAGTGATTGGAGTGTACAGTAGCACTCCATAAATTCTTACAACACTAAAGGAAGAACAAGTTATAAATCTGGACAATCAAAAAGGCCTTTTGAGACACTGAAACTGAGAAAATTTAATCATGTAGCAAGAAAATGCTCTTGTTATGCATACTCACCAAACTGACAGTCAGGTGTCTTTGGTCCATGCATGGTAGTGCCCTCAACACGGTTACCATTGGGGAACACGCACCAGCATTCATCGATGCCAGGCTCTCCTCGACACTGTAGACGTTCATAAGCACCATCCAATGTACATCTTGGTACATAAGATTTTGTTATCCTGACGTAATCTGTATCTTTTACAGAATTTCGCAATCGTTCACATTCTGAAAGTGGTCTAGTAGACTGTGGCTGTGTTGTATCCTTCCCTAAGAAATCTGAAAATAACATTTATGACATATTCAGAGTCTTGACAAGTTTTTTTTTTTGTTGTCCCTACACCGTAGATCTGACCATTAGACCATTCAACCAGTGATTTCAAGGACAAACATGGCTACGTCAAATATTACAGGAAACAAATTATATCACAGAGAAGAAAACATAAGGTTTTCCTACATTTTTCTTGTACACAAGATCAGTATATACATTTCTTCTCATACGTGATTAGAGAAATCTTCATTGCTAACAAGTGCTGAATATTTCTGTCCTGTCTATTCCAGGACAGGTCAAGACGGGACCGGACAAACAGACAGGACGGGACGGGACGGGATTGGACAGGACGGGATGGGACAAACAGGTGTAAAACTATATGGCATCCCTATGTGTTTCATACCTTTATTCAAACCAGATCCTGATATTCCAATGTCTTCTTCATCAACATCATCATCTGCAGATCCTTCCAATAGGTCCTCGTCATCTGATACTATTACTCCATTTCCACTTCCATTATGTTCTAGTTCTGCACCATCCTACAACACATCATCCGACAATGTAAATGATGAAGTCAACATGTGATTTCATTAACCCTAACCTATACAAACACAATACTTACCCTATCTCAAATACAGACAATATTAACCCTAACCCAAAGAAAATATTAATGAGGTCAACACATAATTTTGTTAACCCATACACAGACAATCATTCCCCCAAAATTGATGTAATCAGTGAGTTAATCAACCCTATAACCTACACAATCATATTGTTTTGTCACTTGTACTCTTGCCTTTTGATCATATAGACACTGCTGTAAAGTTTCATTGAATCCAACCTTTTATTTTTCTAGAAAACTTTTATTTCAAGAACATGAAAATTTGTAGGATCCATCCATTGTGAAACCAATTTTCATAAGCAAAATGAAACTTTTGAGATCTATGCACACAAATATATCTGATAGTTTCAAACAGGATGGGCCTAATTTATTATCAAATAAACTCAAAAAAAATAAAAGGATAGACATTAGGGACTGGTTGCATATTGTCAATACACCAAATCACAGCTGGAAACAATAATAAAAAGATGACTCAGAAAACGTAGGAAATGCTTGTGCAAACAAAATAATATCCGGTTAGTTAGAGTAATTTCATCGCAACAGGATATCAGTGACTGGTGATGTCTAGAAGTCAACAAGTATTAAAGTATCTTGGTAAATACAATATGACACCCCTAAATATACCAATTATGTCTTATTCACAGGTGAACGATAATATGTGCGTCTATTATATAAACATTACAAAAGAAGTTGCCCATTAAATGGTTGCACTTGGGTAAATACACTATACTGCACCCATGTCTTATACACAAGTACAAAATACAAAAGAAAAAGAAAAAAACAATCAAGATAAGATCTGCAGTAAACCTATTCAGCTCCTTCTTAATCTTCCACCAGCCCCCTTTTCTATTTTCTAGGTTAAGCTCCAGGTAAAGTCATACAAAATGCTACATCATGTTGGTGTAATAGATCAAGGTTAGATACATAACAATTGGAGCAAACATCCGTCTTCTACTGAGACATCTCTACACCATCGACATCTCTACACCATCGACATTTCCTTACAATGCCCCAGATGAATACTATAATAGACACACCAATGTACCCTGAAATTCCCCAGATGAATACTATAATAGACACACCAATGTACCCTTAAATTCCCCAGATGAATACTATAATAGACACACCAATGTACCCTTAAATTCCCCAGATGAATACCATAATAGGCACACCAATGTACCCTTAAATTCCCCAGATGATTACTGTAATAAAAAACACCAATGTACCCTTAAATTCCCCAGATGAATACTATAATAGACACACAAAGTACCCTTAAATTCCCCAGATGAATACTATAATAGACACACCAATGTACCCTTAAATTCCCCAGATGATTACTGTAATAAAAAACACCAATGTACCCTGAAATTCCCCAGATGAATACTATAATAGACACACCAATGTACCCTTAAATTCCCCAGATGATTACTGTAATAAAAAACACCAATGTACCCTTAAATTCCCCAGATGAATACTATAATAGACACACCAATGTACCCTTAAATTCCCCAGATGTTAACCACAATAAATACACCAGTCTCATGAACATAAAATGGAAACCTTACAAAAGCATCTTCTAGAACCATGTTGGTAAATCCATACTGGTTGTATTTAAAGGCAATTTCATTCTCCACATTTTGAAATAACAAACTTTAATTGCCAGATTTATTAAAACTACTGAAGCCTTATCTATAATAGCACAGATAAGACTATTAGTTAAATGACAGACTTCATGTAACAATTACAGATAATATGATGTTTAACAAATCAATATCTCTATGCACAGGCCTGTTAGTGTGCTATCAAATTTATATATTTTATTTGTTTATTTATTTCATTTTATTTACTTTGTGTTTTTTTCATTTCATGTAAATGAAATATTACTGACAAATTTTGCTGCCAGTAATTAAATAAAGCTATTGGTTGATTGCATGACACATGTCCATCAATTTAAGACCCGTTTCTTAAAAACCAACAGTAAAGCCTGGCTGTGACTTCCCTACATCTTTACTATTGACCAAAACCTAGCCATTTCTAACCTGACACCAGCATATACAGTTGTTATTTGTTAATGATGAATATAAAACATACACAGGTCAATTGTTCAGCAAGGACTCTACATACAAACTACTTTTCTCTACTTTCTTCCCAGACTCCTTACTTCCCCATTCAGTACATCAGTTAAGACTAAATGACAGCCATAGCTAAAATTGAACATTTGGGGAAGCCAGGCGCACATCTTCTCTATCTTGTCCCAGGAGATGGGACATAAGAATAAAATAACTCCATCCAGACAGGGCTGCATGCTATCTGGTTACAGAGTTTACATATGGTTAATGTAAGTATAATATCAAAAATAAAAACCAGAAACTTTTCAACTCTTCCATATTCTTCACATGATCTATTTAGTTAACAGTGATACATAAACCTTTTGAGATGAACCAACCAGTCCAATCAACCAATTGGATTTAAAGCATATCCATCAACCAATTACAGTTGTGCAATAACCAATTGAATTCCTAGGACAGCGATCAACTATGCAGTCACTACCTGATACTGATGTATGCTGGGTAATGTTGTCACTACCTGATAATGATGTATGCTGGGTAATGTTGTCACTACCCAATACTGATGAAAGCTGGGTAATGTTGTCACTACCCAATACTGATGAAAGCTGGGTAATGTTGTCACTACCCGATACTGATGTATGCTGGGTAATGTTGTCACTACCCGATACTGATGTATGCTGGGTAATGTTGTTACTACCCGATACTGATGTATGCTGGGTAATATTGTCACTACTTGATATGAACAACTCAAAGAACTCGCATGTACAATGTCTAACAAACATCAACTTACTTCAATGACCATCTGCAAGGTATTGGTTCAGCGAAGTACACATGGCTAAATTACATCCACACCAAACATGGCTTGAAGCGAAAAATCAATGTCCATGAAGACAACTATTGCCTTTTAACACCTAGCAGGAGTTATATTAATTAAAGTTGATTTAATAATGCCACAGTAATCTGGACACAAGGTACAGAGAACAGTATAGGTGCTGGATTAACAAAGCTTCACTGGCCACCAGGGAAGCAAAGAAAGTCATTGGGAATTTTCAGTGACATTTTAGAAAACCTTTTACACTTAGTAAAGAGCTTATGGATGTTGAAATCTGTGGTTACTGACTCTATATACCCTTCAGATACAGTGTTAATACAGTGTACAATTCTAGCTTCCAGACCATCTATTTTTTCTTTTGTCTGATATAAAATCCTCCTTACTGTTTATGGCAGCAGGACATGAAATGTACATTTTTCACGACTTTATTTCTCTTACTCTTGACTTCTGTTTGCACATTACCTTTTTGAAATAAATTCAGTGTTTTTCTTAGTTTGGGAAATTGCCGTCTGGCAGAAATTGGGATTTTATTGTGAAAACTGATGGCTGAACTTGGGTCCTCATTTACTAGTAAAAAAGGACATCAAATTTGAAGATTTTGAAAATTCTATTGACTTTATTTAGATACTGGGAGTAAAAACAATGAAATTGGTTATTCAGAGACTACATAACTGTATCTAGTTTGTGATACTGGCAGGCAAAGCCCTGTCTCTTTCATGGTGCACATCATTATTTCAGCATGGGAATTAAAACCCTTCTCGATACATATCAGCTTTAGAATTACACACCCTGCATTAGCTAAAAGCTGGAAAATAAAGGAAAATCTCTGTCCTAGAGATCTCCTACTTAATTTCAATTCTTCTGCATCAAGTTGCAATGTGAAATTCAAATCTACAGTAGCTCACGTGGTACCAGCACCTTCATCTCAATCTCTAAATCTATATGATATCAAAAGATAATCATATGGCCACTTCTTCCTAAACACCTCTGGTTGGACTTAAATTTTTCTAGTGCTGATATGCAAATCTAAGGTTAGGTTATTGTCAAATGTTAAGTATAACTTTCATTCTATCTACTATCAATAAAACCTAAAAGTCAGGAATAACCAGGCATGTTCCACTCAGATAAGGATTGTGAAGGTCAACATATACTCGTCAAAGGTTATTTTGAAGATAAAACAAAATTAAAAAACAAAAAAAATAGAGAAAACCATAATATTTTTTAAATCTTCCACAATGTATCCTTCTTGCTGCAAGATTTCAGTAAGAACTGAAAAGTTCTTCCATCCAAATAATTAGCCAGTAATTTTAAGGGTTGTTCTTGTTAAATAATGATGATAAGGGCAGCTATAGATTGTGCAGAATAGACATGAATTATCCAGGGCAGCTATAGATTGTGTAGAATAAACATGGATTATCCAGGGCAGCTATAGATTGTGTAGAATAAACATGGATTATCCAGGGCAGATACAGATTGTGTAGAATAGACATGGATTATCCAGGGCAGATACAGATTGTGTAGAATAGACATGGATTATCCAGGGCAGCTACAGATTGTGTAGAATAGACATGGATTATCCAGGGCAGATACAGATTGTGCAGAATAGACATGGATTATCCAGGGCAGCTATAGATTGTGTAGAATAAACATGGATTATCCAGGGCAGCTATAGATTGTGTAGAATAGACATGGATTATCCAGGGCAGATACAGATTGTGCAGAATAGACATGGATTATCCAGGGCAGATACAGATTGTGTAGAATAGACATGGATTATCCAGGGCAGATACAGATTGTGTAGAATAGACATGGATTTTCCAGGGCAGATACAGTTTGTGTAGAATAAACATGGATTATCCAGGGCAGATACAGATTGTGTAGAATAAACATGGATCATCCAGGGCAGCTATAGATTGTGCAGAATAGACATGGATTATCCAGGGCAGCTATAGATTGTGCAGAATAGACATGGATTATCCAGGGCAGATACAGATTGTGTAGAATAGACATGGATTA